ATCAGTTTGTAGATGCCTTGGACAGTCCACAACTTAAGATACAAGTGAAGCAAGCACACCCCTCTACCATGCAGAATGCAATTGCCAGAGCTCTCGAATTTGAATCCTACATTAAGTCCAGCACAGAGGTACCAAGGTTGGTACAGTCATCTGGATTCAATGCTAGAAAAGGTCAGCTTTCCGAGAAGTTTGAGGGACTTTGCTGGCACCGTAACAAACCTGGGCACAAGAGAGCTCAATGCTGGCAACTTCAACACAGGGGAGATGCCGCAGCAGGAAAGGCTGGTATCCAGAAAGGTTGTTGGAACTGTTGAAATCACGGACATTTAAGGAGCCAGTGTAGGAAGAACATTACCAACAAGTCGGCCTCAAGGAGACCAGTAGTGGTTGATGTTGAGCGACACCCACCAACCCCCATCATGAAAGTCCCAACAGCTAGGTGCAAAATGCCAAGCACACACAGTGTCTATGTGACAGGAAAGCTGGATGGCCAAAGGTGCAACTTTGTCATAGACTCTGCGTCTCAGCAAACCCTTGTGAGCATCAAGGTGTTAGATCATGAAGGATTCCTAAATTAAGTTTGAACAGCACTCACTTTGTTTCCCCACTCTATCGTGCTGCTTTTCTTGTCTCACCTTTCTCGGTTCTAACTTAACAATGATGCAATAACTTTTCCCAACACTTGTCAATGAGAAGCTATTTGTAAAATTGTGTTTTTGTTAATAAAATAACTTTACAACCCATTGCTACTAATGAGTTTTAAAATATGCAATCAAATTTAGTAATTAAACTCAGCATTTTGAAATGTTCTCGTTCTCCTCTTCCTCTCCCTAGTTATCCCAGTTATCCATCTCTTTCACTTTCTCTCTCTTTCGGTATATCTATTTATATATATAAGTGGAATAAACCAAAGAAAGTTTTGTAAATGAAGAGGTTGTCCTTGTGAAAGTCCAATTGTTTGTACATGTTTGCTTTGAATTGTGAAGTAATATGTATGAAAACAGAATTATAACACATTGAAAAGATTGAGAGAGAAAAAAATTAAATTTTTTTTTGCAGCAAAGATTAATCAGAAGATTTTCAAGATTGTTTTCTCATTTCAGGCGGAATCGACACCAACACCCATTTTCAACTCCCCATCATGGGCACTAGATCTGCCGATGATTTTTACCATGGAACCAAAGCAGCATTAGCTGGAGGAACCACCATGATCAGTGAGTATAAAACATTATAGTTTTTTAATGAAAGGCTTTGCTTCTGGAAGAACGTACCAGAAGAATTTAAACATATGTTAACGAAGAACATTAGCATGCCAGAATAGCATAAAAACTATAAAATAATTCTTGATTCAAGAAATATACTTCAAAAATATACAAACTTAGAGACTGAAGACTAAAAAAACAAATATGTCAGCCAGAAACATACGATTTATTCTTGATTCATGAAACATAAGTATGAAAAATGTTTATATTCAAAATGTCATTCAGAGAAATGGAAATAGTGACTTCATATTGATGGTTTTAAAAAAAAATGTTTGAAATGAGAGTATTTGTAGGAAACTGTTAGCAAATAACAGTGTCTTACTGATAACATTATGTGCAAAGAACAAGAAAGACCTGGCATTTTGTTGTACAGATGTCAGGCATGTCAGTTAGAAGGCACACAATTAACACACGAAAAAAATATATATAGAAAGGTAACTTGAATTATACAAGTTAGATTACAACATCTTTTGTTAAGTAGCAATTTAAGTTTACATAGTCTAACAGTTAGGCTAAGAGATCTTACATTTATCAACTCTTACAGTTAGGCTAAGAGGTCTTACATTTATCAACTGTAACACTTACTTATCTGTGATGAATCCCTTAAAGTTTAATTTTCAGTAATTTTGTTTGTTTTGAATTTTGCGACACGCTACACGAGGGCTATCTGCGCTAGCCGTCCCTAATTTAGCAGTGTAGGACTAGAGGGAAGGCAGCTAGTCATCACCACCCACTGCCAACTCTTGGGCTACTCTTTTACCAATGAACAGTGGGATTGACCGTCACGTTATAACACCCCCCACGACTGAAAGGGCGAGCATGTTTGGTGGGACTGGGATTCGAACCCACAGACTGCGAGTCGAGCTCCTTAACCACCTGGCCATGCTGGGCAACCAGTAATTTTGTAGACACCCCCAAATTTTTTCTACCACATCCTTAATTATTGCCTTCATACTGAAAAACCACCACTGTTTACTAGACAGATATAACCGTTTACAAGTAATCAACAACCTCCTGCTGTTTTCTTAATTCTATTTTACAGGCTTATTATATTATTTGTAGTAAGCTTTGCTTTTCGTTTTGGCCAATTATTGACAAAATCTGGTGCCATGAGACTTATTTTAACTTTAAGAAACCTGTTATTATTTATTTACACATTTGTATTTAACCCCATGTAATTTTATATATATATATATATATATATATATTCAAATCAGAAGAAAGTTTTATTTTCATGTGTTTTATTTTCCTAGTGTATGTCTAAAAGTATTAGTTTATGTGAAACACTAAATATTGTTACGTATCTGCTTGTTTGTTTGTTTCCGGTAGAAATTCTTTCCGAGGGTCTTCAGCGATACAAGTCCTTTCTTGATTAAACCAGTTTATTCTTCCTCGATACAAACTTTTAGTACACAGTAGTTCCACAATCAGTACGTTTCTCGTCACTTTAAACTTTAAACGCTATAAGTCACAGCGATTCACAATCTCGATAACTTTGCCCTCGACGAGTGCAAAACACACACTTTATGGCTCACTAGCTCAAAACTAACAGAATCATAAATTACATGGAACTCAAAGTAACTACTACTCTCTCTTCTTTCATTCCTGCTGGCCTTCTTTGCCAGGCTTATATACTAACGAAGAGGGCATCTAGAGCACACTCGGACTTCTCCAATCATTAGAGAAACTCATCAGCATCACGTGACTTCTGCTATCATAACACTGCCTCTTCCTTAGTATTGTTCGTATCAAACAGTAGCCACTTACATTAAACAAATACATAATTAACCTTGTCAAAACGTTGTACATTTGCTGTTATGTTAAACTTATATTAAAGTTTTTCTTCATTACCCATTCAAGCTGTCTTCAGCCATTATTAACAATAACTTAATTAAATGTCCTGAATTTACAAACATAAAATCAAAATTCAACAAAGTATCATAATTTTACAGGATGTTTCTTCTTTCGTACTGGTCTCTGTCTCATTGGCTTCTGCTTTATGTGGGATTCATCTGCTCCATCAGGAAAGGTCCCATTATCAATAGCAGTCACATCAGTGGTAGTAACTTCATTGGCAGCTTCACTGTTTTCCTTGTCAAAACGGGGTAGAGTTTCTTCTCCGACAGTGGCTTTTTCAGGTGACACGTCTTCAGTAGCATCATTTGTTCTGTTGTTCATTTCGTTCCAACTGAAATGTCCTGGGCCGTGATAACGCCAAAGCCTGTTGGCATGCACCACCTTTGGCTTACCTCACTGACCACATTTTATTCGGAAATTCACGTCTGAGAGACAATTCAGTATGTCATATGAGTCTTCCCATGGAGAAGACAATTTAGGAGACTTCCCTTTGGTCTTCCTGGGTTATATAACCACACCTTGTCTCCTGGTAAAAAGCTGACTTTAGTAAATTTCTTATCATAACATAGCTTAATGGAATCAGCAGACATTTTTAAGTTTGAACACACTTGATGATAAATATTATCCATCCTTTCAGATAACACTTTCACAAACTCTGGCACATTTTCAGGCAACTCTTCGTAAGGTGGGCTTGCTGTTATCAGGTCCACTGGCAACCGAAGTTCCCAACCAAACATCAGCTTTGCTGGAGTGTATCCAGTGGTTTCATGCTCTACTGTTCTATAGGCCATCAACAATGGAGGGAGTAAGACATCCCTGTCATCTTCACAGCTATTACAAACCTTTGCCAATTCCTGTCAAAGTGTCCAATTGTACTTTTCTACCATCCCACCAGACTGTGGGTGAAGTGGCAGTGTCCTGGTCTTTCATATGCCAAACATCTTGCAGCATTCGTGGAACACAGCTGATTCAAAGTTACAGCCTTGATCTGAATGCAGTTCATATGGCATACCAAACCTGAAGAACAAATCACTAATAGCTGAAGCTACAGTTGTAGCTTCCTGATTTGGTATTGCATATTCATCAGGCCACTTGGTGAAATAATCCATCACCACACAAATGTACTTGTTTCCAGCACGAGTTTGGGACAAAGGGTCCCCTTTTAGCACAACATGTACTGCATGTCCTGCAACATTTTTCCACATCTTGCCTCATTCCTATCCAGTAAAATCTCTGTCGTAGGTGAGTCAATGTCTTCTTAACGCTGAGATG